GGCCCACCTGGTCCACAAGGACCAAAAGGAAATCAAGGCCCAGATGGTCCTCAAGGACCAGTGGGACCTAGGGGATACAATGGCTCTAGGGGCCCACCTGGACAACCAGGAGTGACTGGTCCACGAGGGAATCCAGGAAACACCGGATCAAGGGGACCCCAAGGACCCCAGGGATCACAAGGACCTGCAGGACCCCAGGGACCACCTGGTGCAGGGAACTTTAGTCAGTGTGTCTACAAAAGAGCTGATAGCAGTGGTACTGGGGCAAGCAGAACTGCACATAATAGTGTATTAGTAGCTGAACCAGCTGTAAGTCAAACATTAACTTTGTGCAAAACGCGTCCACACATAAATATTTGATTCTTTTCTTTTGTCAAAATAGACTTAATTGGTCTTGGTGCAATGTTTTCAGACCACGTGTCATTCCCAAAAGTATTCCTGTTTTGTTTAAGGTTAAATTGTGTAGACACATGAATTCATTCACACAACTCATACAAAATTATATCTCATTTTCTATGGAACGACTCGTGGTCTGAAATTGGTAAACATGTACTGCTTCCTTTGCTTGAGATACATATGAGAATATGAACTAAGAGAAGGAATCCTACCTATATAGCCTTGTAACCATCATGCGCACAGTTTGATGCTATTTTTAGTTTGGAGATATTTTGAGCGAAGAACCTGATTGGTTGATTTCTTGAGGGTAGACGGCTTCCAGTCTTGCAGTAAACAAAACCTGTGTTTTTGTTGTGGACGTAGAGAGATATGGCGCTTTTCGTGTCCTAAAACGAGGCATTAAAGGGAAGCATGATTATCGTGCGGGCATGGTAACGAGTTAAAAATAGCATAAATGATTCTAAAAATAGCATCAAAGTGTGCACATGATGGGGCACGGGGGTTCCTTCTCTTAGTTCATTTTCTCTTGGATACATGCCTGTATCGTTACCGTAATTCGTCTTCTTACAAAAGAAGGAAAGAAAGAAAGAAAGAAAGAAAAAGAGAGAGAGAGAGAGAAAGAAAGAAAGAAAGAGAGAGAGAGAGAGAAAGAAAGAAAGAAAGAAAGAAAGAAAGAAAGAAAGAAAGAAAGGAAGGAAGGAAGGA